ATGGTAATGAAAAAGCGAAGGAGCATAATGAAATATCCTAATGAAAATTCTAAGAAATGGTAATGAAAAAGCGAAGGAGCCTAATGAAATATCCTAATGAAAATTCTAAGAAATGGTAATGAAAAAGCGAAGGAGCATAATGAAATATTGTAATGAAAATTCTAAGAAATAGTAATGAAAAAGCGAAGGAGCATAATGAAATATCCTAATGAAAATTCTAAGAAATGGTATTGAAAAAGCGAAGGTGTCTAATTAAATATCCTAATGAAAATTCTAAGAAATAGTAATGAAAAAGCGAAGGAGCCTAATGAAATATCCTAATGAAAAGTCTATGAAATGGCAATGAAAGGGCCAAAGAGCTTAATGAAATATCCTCATGATATCTCATTATCCTTGCCTATATCTTATGAAAGATTCTAGTGATAAATTGAATGAAATAGATGGGCAATCCTAATGAGATGCCTTTCATAAAACCTGTGGCAGTATACACATTGCCTCTTGGACAGTTGTCATAGATTAATCATAAATAGTGGTAGCCACTAGTGCTTCAGACTCTGATATGTCTGATGATAGTTATAAACACTATAGGTGAAGGAATAATAAAGTATATAAGAAGTATCACAAACATAAGGGTAAAAAATGTACCAAGAAGTCCAATTTGAAGCCTATTCCTCCTGATAAATATGATGGCACACCGGATACACAACTGTTTCATAAATTCATGACTCAGTCGATGGTGTATTCGGAGGATGGCAATGTACCAAAACAGCGTCATGTTTATATCTTATCCAACTTCCTCACAGATAAGGCTAGTGTTTGCAGGTTCGGTTGCATAGACCAAAAAAAAAACCGAAACCGAACCAAACACAACCGAAAAAGACCGGACCAACAGTTGCGGTTGCACCAATTTTGAGGCTTTTCGGTTGCCGATCTCAAGATTTTCTGTAATTTGTAAAGACCGATGAAAACCAGTTCACACCGGTTGCAACTGGTCTTTTACCTACATAAAACAGCTCTGTATTGAAAGTAAAAAGTATGTTTGAAATATTTGAACATGGCAAGTAACACTACCAAACAAGGTTGAAAATAAAAGTCCAACACGCACACCAGCACAGCATGGTGAAAGGACGCGCAAAGGCACCAACAAAAGCAGCACCAAAAAAGGCAGCCCCCAAAAAAGCACCACCTACACAACGTAACAAGAACAAGGGAGCCCAGAAGCGAGCAGCAGATGACAATTCCTCAGTGGAATCTTCTGATGGCGAGTCGGACCATAGGCCACATAAAAAGAAACGTGCAAAGGTCACATCGGGAGGTAGTGACGATGACGAGGGTGAGGCTGGTGAAGCTGAACCTGAGGTGGAGAAGGAAGGTGGGTATGAATCGTCAAGTGACTGTGAGGTACGAAAATCACTTGAAAATCACAGTAGGCTGCTATACAAAGAGTTAACATTTTACAAGGGTGATGGGCTGCAAGATAATCACCACATACCCATCCCCTCGGAGGTCTACAGCAACAAGGAAAAGGCTTGGGATGTTCGACTCATCTACACCGACAAAATCCAGGTGAAATTCGTGACAGGCGACAAGGTGGAGACACCAAGCAGACGCTGGTGTAACATATGCAAGTAAGTTGTAATCTGCAAAAATATAAGAGGTCTTACCAAGTTTTGATAGGAACAACGATGAATTCGTGCAGAAATCGGGAAAGCAAAAGGCATTCCACGTTGGTGGGAACTCCTCCTGTCGGCAACACATCCATCAACATTATGCAATATACAAAGAACGATGCAAAGCGGCCAACATACCAGAGCACCATTGGGCAATCCCTCACATAATTTGGAATAAGATGGAGGAAAAACGAAATGGGGAGAAGGTGGGGAGGCAAGGAACCTTGGATGGGTTCGTCGGAAAGCCTGCAGGACCAATCGTGTATTCACGCGAAAATGTTCTTCATGTGGTGACTCAGTTCGTTGCAGTTGATGATCAGGTAAGTACTCACCAATAGAGCAAGTTCTGTATGTTCATCGTCTGCCTTAGTCCCTTTCCGTTGCAAACAAAACGACATTCTGGAACAGCTTGGTCGCAATGCGACCAAAGTCGATGTTACAAGATTTACCCACAACGCACGACATAACCAACCATCTGCACAACGAGTTTGTCAAATGGTTGGCACAGCTTAAAGCGGATATCGATGTAAGTGCTTACATTCAAGCATGCTCGAGACTCACCAACTTCATTACAGGCAGCCCCTGGTCTAATATCCACAACGGCAGATATGTGGACTGCCGATACCACGAAGGCGGCTTTTCTTGGGGTGACTGCGCATTGGATCGAAGTAAAAGGGGAGAAATGGGAGATGTGCTCGGAAGTTATCGGATTTCTGTCAGTGTCAGGGGACCATAGTGGGAAGAACCTTGGGCAATACTTCGTGGGTGTTTGTGATCGAATAGGTATCATGAATGCGGAACGGTCTAAGGTACGACATTGACCATCTGATGGTGATAGACAGATATCTGACACCTTGACAGCTTCACACCCTTACTCTCGACAACGCTTCAAGCAACACAACAAAATGCGAAACTATTGAAGCTACACACAAATGAAGAAATCTTTCCTTGTGGTCCGCTGAGCAGAATCAACTTCCGTAAGTCTACCCTCAATTTTTATATTCTTCACCTCTCACCCATCAGTATAGTTGTTTAGGTCATGTCGTCAACCTTGCGGAAGTTGATGTGATGACCCATATCACGAAGATCGCAGCCGTGGAAACGGCGACAGCTATTTGGGAGTACAATCCATCACTCCCTGACAACCGTGTGCTGAACGGTTCCCTGGACATAACCGCGGCCATCTGGACTCTCGCAATCAAGGTTAGTTGTATCAGTCTTCCGCTATCTCGGTTTTCTGACTTGCCACAGATTCAATCATCTGGGCAGCGAATTGAAGCGTTTGAGAAGCTGCAACTTGAATGCGGTGTTCGCGACACACTCAAGATCCCTCTTCACAGCAACGTTCGGTGGGGTACTGCCCATCGCATGCTCAGTGTATCATATAAAATCCGTCAGGTACGTTGATCCCTGCACTGTTTCTATTCTTTATCTAAAGGACTAGTAGTCCATTAATTTGTTTATTGCAGGTGCTGACCATCGATATGGTCCTATCACAACTCTCCGGCGTGATGGCCAGGTCTCGAAACACATACTATGGTCAGCATTCACCTTGTCTGAAATAGACTGGGAACGGGTCATAGAAGCATGCGAGATTTTGGCTGTACGTCCCTGTGTGATTTTTGCCACACAATTACTCACACTCACGATTCAGGACTCCAACCGGATTCAACAAACATTCTCAGCTGAAAAGCGGCCAACACTCTGGCAAGCCTTACCTGCTATCGAAGAGCTTCAAACCGCTTGGGAAGCCAAATGCAACAATCCACACTATGCGACGTACAGAACGGCAATCAATGATGGACTTGCGAAGCTGAACAAATACTACTCACAGTTCGACGAGAAGCCCGCGTACATCTTGGCCCTTGGTAAGTCTCGTTTGATGACCTTATGACCTTTCTAATGTTGATCCTCCAGTGTTACATCCTTACTTCAAACTTGCTTACATCAAATTGGCGTGGGGAGGTGCAGAGGAACAAGCAGCAGAGCGTCGAAAGGGGAATCGACTGGCAAAGAACTGGCAAGATGAAGCGCAAAAGATACTCGAGATATCGGTAAGTTGTGCGCTTCCATCAGTATTCCTGCCTGACTCCTCATTCTATGGTTCTAGATGGAAAAATACTGGAAGGCCCGTCCAGCTGCAACTCCCACTGCGCCAGCTCCCTCCACTAGCGGTGTAGCGCAACCTAACGAGGCGTCCATTTTATCTGAGTTTGATCGCCATTGCCTAGCTCTGCTTTCTAGCCAAGATGAAGATGAGGGATGGCAGCCGGAGATGTGTCGATATCTAAAGGACCTACCAGCTGATGTTACGAAGGATACCGATATTGTCGAATGGTGGCAGGTATGCGTTTGCGCGTGGATTGAAATTAGTGATGCTCATTGATGATATTTACAGAACAATGGGGCACTCTATCCCACCCTCCGTCGCATTGCGCTTGATTACCTTCCCTGTCAAGCTTCTTTGGTCCCTTGCGAACGTCTTTTTTCTGCTGGGGGAGAAGTTGCGACAAAACGGTGAGCTCAACTCGGCGCAGCGCGGTTCGAAGAGCTCCAGATGATGAAGTTCGCTTGGAGGAACAACATTGGGGACCTCGCCGCGTGGAACTCAGCACAGGTGGAGGAGGTTGACACTGAAATGCGTGAGTTTGAAGATATGTTGATAGCAGACCGAGACTTTGAGGAGTGGGACAAATCAGTTGACGAACTCGTTATTAGCTAGATAGATTAGTTTTACTTTCCCCTTCCTCAATGCCAGACTTAATAGATCAGAATATATTACCCCTTTGCTATTCAACACATTTTTCAGTAAGTTATAGGTACGGGTTTTTAGTAGGGCACAGAGGTGAAAGGAACTGGCACAAGTGCCCTTCCCCAGCTGCGAGACTCCAAACATCGAGGCGAGCGCACTCTGGAGAATAAATCTAAATGTCATCTATAGTTATGACTGCATGATCAGCATATATATATTACCTTGAGTACAGTTTCTTAGATTGGCATTGTAGGAAATGTTGTTTGCGAAATGATTGATCTGATCGTCAAGTACTGCTTACTTCGATCTACATGCTTGACTAGTACCACACGTAGTCTCAAAACGCACTCTCTTGTCGACAATGGTTCTGTCCCAGTGGCATATAACGGCCGACGTGGGTCGGCATTGTGCTCAGAACGGTTTAGGTGAGTGCTTTGCCACTTTGTACGTCTAATGATCTTTCACCACAGTGACTATTGAGATGTCCATCTCCAATCTCGTCCATCTCCCATCCCCAACGGCTCCACCACCACCACCGTTCTGGCATCCCCTTCCTCTTCGCATTCGATCTCTTCACACATCTCAAGACTCAGGGACACCGACGCCAACTTCCTACCCACCCGTTTTGCGATATTTTACAGCCCCCTGCCCATGTTGGCTGCACGCCTTCCTTACCTGAACTCTTCCCCAAATCGACAGACCTTTGGCTACCTTGAGCAGTGTAGGGCATGTCCAAACGGCCGATTAGCTGATGTTCACGTCGAGTATCTTGCATTATCATCTGCACGCCAGGACCTTGCTTACCCTTTACCCAGGCCCTTCCCCAGAACACGTTCGGATGCCCAATGACGAAGGAGGTGACCTGGAGGCTGGACGAATGAATGTTTACGGTGAGTGTCCCGCATCGTGGAATGCGCATTGTACTGACCTTACAATGCGATAGATTGTATATCGGATCGCAATCGATCGACACCACCAGTCCACATTGCTTTTGCTGTCTCTTGGCCGTCTCTGCCTCTTGTCTGTGCGACCTACATGCATGGATAGGCTTACCATCTTTCCTCAACATTACTTTGTCACTACGCTCCGAGTATCTCTTCTACCACTTCGAAACTGGAACACTGCCAAGCTCATGAACCCTCGATGTCACCCGTCTCATCAACAGTGACGAAATCCAATCCGTCGTCCGCCCCGCTGGCCAGAAAGTTCAGAAGTACCCCTGGACTTCAAGCAAGAACCCCCTCGTCAACAAGGCCGTTCTCTTCTGTCTCAACCCCTACGCCAAGACCCCACGCAGCGTACATCCTTTTCTTTTTTATCTTCCAAACAGATATTTATAATATACTCTCAATACAGTCAAGCAGGAGCACTTGAAGAAGAAGGACGCCACGAGCCCAAGGCCCCAAGCAGGCTTCGTTACTTGGACTGAGGGTGCTTTCGCTCTTCCCAATGATGTCTTTTTACTTACAGCTAGCTCCGTACTACTACCGGTCTCTGTTTTCTTCTCTCAAAATAAATTCCATGGCTGCATGTGAACAATTGAAGCGGAGCTTCATTCGACATGCCAAACGAGGCCAAACGTTTTTCATTGACCACCCTTTCTTTCTTTCTGTTTCCTCGTCACCTTGTCATCACCTACCAAGTGTAGGATGACTCCATCTTCTCCAGTCATCTCTGCTTCTGGATGCACGATCCTTACAGGCAACGATGAAGTTAGCCTGTATCTTCGTGAAGAACTTGACACGAACGCTGCACTGGCATGGTGGCATCGACATGTAAGTTTTTCATTGTATATCCTCTGCATGCTTCTAACTTTTCAGTAGCAAGACCAAACAACATTCCCTCTTCTCTCGCAAGCAGCATTACAGCACGACATTCGACTGTCTACCGTACCACTGTGTGTACACAACTCTGGCATCTGATCTCAACGAGCTATAGGGATTGTAGTATGGTATGTTACACTACATTCTTCCGATGTGAGTCCGAACTAAGTACGTGTGTCGTTATTGATAGATACAAGCCTACATATTCCGGGGGCTACTCCAGTGTCCATCTATGCCACTGATTGCTCGGTCAGTACTCTTTCAACTTCAATTCTCATATCAATTAATCAAATTTGTAGTTGTCTTTTTGTTCGGGGGCCATCGGGGGTTTATTCCCCATTTCTTTTGCTCTGGGTTATCACTACTTTGCTGAATGACACTCTTTGAATGTCCACATAGACCGTACTCTTCATTGCCTTGGTACCTTACATGTACAGATGTCTTGTATAGAAAGACCGGTTTGAACTGAGGGAAAGACTGGATGAAACTGGTTTCAACCGGTCGTCTTTGAGACCGATTGAAACCGGTTGGTAAACTAGAACCGGACCGATGTGAACCGGTCCTCTATGGTCTGGTCCGGTTATCTGAAAAGGTGGCTACAGTTGCAACCGGTTGCGGTTGCGGTTGTGGTTCATTATGGTCTAAAAACTGGACCGAACTGAACCTTGAAACACTAGATAAGGCATATACATTCTATACACGCGATGTTTCCTGTGATCCTAAATGATGGACAACTGCACACTTTTTCAAAGAGTTGTTTGACAATGTATTTCCTGTCAATTTTTGTCTGAAGCAATGCAAGAAATTAGACAGGTTTTATCAGAATAACAAAACAGTTAGAACTTATGTTGCTGAGTTAGCCAAACTCTTCACAAGTATTGGCTTTTCTGACAAGCATGAATGTGTCCACAGATTATGGAAAGGATTGCATTGTGACATTCAGAAAAAATTGTGGAGGGAAAAACTGAATCCCGAAATGTCCTCTTGGAAAAGGGTTGCGCACCACGCCGAAATTGTTGAGTTGTCGAATTCGGTTGGTGTGTATGATCCTGCCCAATGTAACCAAGGTCCCAACAACCGAGGGGACAAGAAACGATTCCATAATCATTTTGACAGACAACACCATAGCCATGACCAAGACTGTTCTGATAGACCACGCCAGAACCGTGACAGGCGTGAAAAATATACTGGACGAAAAACAAACAGTATTCCTGGGTTTTCCTTGATGCGTAAGAAATCCCAGGAGTGTCATGAACATGGTAAATGAGACTACAAGGAATTCAAAAAGAATAAGTTATCTGAAAAGGAGAAGGAGGAGTTACAAGCCGCAAATAAGTGTTTCATCTGTAAAGAAGAAGGACATGTTGCATGCACCTGTCCTCACAGACACAACATAGCCTCTTCTTCCAGTAACAAACCTCCAGGCCTTCGCAACTACAACATTGAGATCACATCTCATGAGAAGGAAGGTCTAGAAACATTAGATGCTACAACGGAAAGTAATAACTCACTTGAGCTTGGAATGATGGAAATTGATGGGCTACAACCTTCCAAGGAAGGATCTGATCAAAGTCAAGGATTGTCTTCCCTGATGCAAGGGTCTGCATTTGAGTCTGACAGTGATCTGGGTTATCTGACACCTGAAGACATTGAAGACTTGTTTGAAACTGATACTGACCTGGAATCTGAGTGTACAATGCCTACTTCTGTGTCAGAGATTATGGATGGGGATTCTATGCCTGAGCTGCAGTCAGTAACATCGGAAAGCGACTTTGATGACATGCCAGATCTCCAATCAGTATCGACATCATCAGATGATGAATCTGATGATGGCATGCCAAATCTGACAGATGTTTCTGATTTGGAAAGTGAGATTGATCCATCAATGGAACCAATTTTCGAGATTCTGGAACGAGAATTGAATAACATGTATTTCAGAGAAATGACGCAACTTGAGTGCTACACCAAGGAACGTCTAATTGAATGTGCTGTACAATGGAGTCCAAAAAGTCCTGCATTGGGAAATGAGACACAAAATATAAAATTAAAGGTTCTTAATAGCTGGGAATATAAACACCATGACTGTATCAGTGATATTCTCACCGTCTCTGTCCGCCTCTGCTGCGCTGTTCAAAAGTGGGATCACGAGGTGATGGTAGCAACAACAAGGGGTCGCCGAGGCGAGGTGAGCCCCAAATTTTTAGGCTGGAGAGTGTAAGCTACTTACACAATACAAATAGAATACAAGTATAAGATAAGTAATAAAGTTCCAATAAAAAGAAAAAAGAAGAGGGAGTGGAGGGAGGGCCAAAGAAATCTGAATAGATTCTGTAAGAGGCATGATACATGAGTATTGAGCTGGGAGAGATCTTTTGATACTTCTTACAATCTGGCAAACAAAGTCTGAACCAGAGGGCGTGTAAGAAAGTGAACGATGCTCAATAGAATAAAGGCCTCACCAAATGAGAAGTGATAAGAGCACGTTTATGATAAACGGTAGGCAGAGCCTAGGGTAGAGAATCACTGGTCATTTGGGTGAGTATGCGGCGCATAGAGAGAGAGCGCGCGGAGCGCTTACCTGTGCTGGATAGACGTGGTCTGAGAGAGAGAGTGCCAGCACAGGAGAGGGAAACGACACTGATGACTTCTCCTAACCCAGCATCTGCCAAACTTTGGCACTGAGTCAGGGATCGGTGTCGAAGCCCATGGTTGGCGAGCGGAGCTCAAGGGGAAAAGGCTCAGCAGAGCTGAGCATTTTCCTGGCAGAGTTTGAGTTGGCGCAGAGGCCTACGAAATGCCTCCTTACCCTTGGAACCCGCCATTACGACGACCTCTGCTGCGCTGTTCAAAAGTGGGATCACGAGGTGATGGTAGCAACAACAAGGGGTCGCCGAGGCGAGGTGAGCCCCAAATTTTTAGGCTGGAGAGTGTAAGCTATTGATGAGGTGTTGATGTTGATGTGGGGTGGTGGTGGTGAGAGATGATGGAAGCGGGAAGCATAGAAAAATTGTCAACGGCGCCCCCGACGTAGTCCGATGGCAGCAAGCTGCTGTTCAGCGCGAACAGTTGGATTGTCCCTTATGTAGATCTTCCATGCTTGAGAGGACCATCTGCCGAGGGCTTGAATGATGTCTTCAGATAGCCCGAGGCTGGCATAGAAAGTGGCGCCGCCTGCACGAGGTGAGTGCCCTCCGAATTCTCGATTGAGTACGGCGAAGAAGCGGGCGTCGAACCATGACCGAGTAGGGTGTGAACCATCCTCGCGTAGAAAGAGAGCTAGGCGTGCATTGTGAACGGAATCACGTCGATCGACATATTCTTGAAGAAGTGCAACAGGGTCGGCGACTTCCTGTTGTGAGAATAAGATATCAGTACCACGGTAAAATGGCACAAGTACTCATACATTACATTATAGTTCAATGGTACTCCACATGGTCAATTGTACCTATGTACCATAGAGCTACCCCAATGGGGCCAATGCTATCTACACACTATTGAATAAAGTTGGGCCCAATGCATGCTTTTACCTTAAGGTGAGATGGTGTGGCCCAATTGTGAAATATCCCGCAACATTGGGCCCAATTGCTATTTAACACATGATCATATGCTGGACCGACGAAAAAGTAGGCCGAAAGATATATCCGAAGACAGGGGGGGGTCACTACTATGGCACCAATTTCTCTGCCTTCTCAATCCTTGCTTTGATCCGAAGCTCCTCTTCATTCAGCATGATCATAGTATCCAACTGCCTCAACTGATCCTCTACGTGTGCCATTGCCTCCAAAAGAGCATCTCGAGCTCTCAAACCCACCTCATATTCCCGATGCAATACCCTGTGGGCTATTCAGGCTTATTCCAGTGGGTCGGTAAGTCTTCCCACATCAGGCAACACAATGTCAAAAAATGAGGCCATCTTTGGCTCAAATTCAAATCCGACATGTTAAAACCAAAGATTTTGTCAGCTGGTAGTGCCGAAATCCTTCCGGAAATATTGTGTTGCCTCCCAAAGACTATGTGCACTCAATAGATATTAAGACCAAGGATTTCATCCACTGGTTGTGCCGAAGTACCTGCAGAAATGTGGTGTTGCCTCTCAAAGAATATGTGCTCTCAACACATGTTAAAACCGAAGATTTCGTCAGCTCATAGTGCCGAAGTACCTCCAGAAATATTGTGTGGCCTCTCAAAGAATATGTGCACTCAACACATGCTAAAACCGAAGATTTCGTCGGCTTGTAGTGCCGAAATCCCTCTGGAAATATTGTGTTGCCTCCCAAAGACTATGTGCGCTCAATAGATATTAACACTGAGGATTTCTTCAGCTGGTAGTGCCGAAGTACCTCCGGAAATATTGTGTTACCACTGAGAATATGTGCATTCAATACAAGTTAAAACCGAAGATTTCGTCGGCTCATAGTGACGAAATACCTCCGGGAATATTGTGTTGCCTTGCAAAGAATATGTGCACTCAGCACATGTTAAAATGGAGGATTTCGTCAGCTCATAGTGCCGAAGTACCTCCAGAAATATTGTGCGGCCTCTCAAAGAATATGTGCACTCAACACATGTTAAAATCGAAGAGTTCGTCGGCTTGTAGTGCCGAAATCCCTCTGGAAATATTGTGTTGCCTTGCAAAGAATATGTGCACTCGACACATGTTAAAACCGAAGATTTCCTCGGCTTGTAGTGCCGAAGTACCTCCGGAAATATTGGGTTGCCTCTCCGAGAATATGTGCACAACACATGTTAAAACAGAAGATTTCGTTGGCTCGTAGTGCCGAAGTACCTCCGGGAATATTGTGTTGCCTTGCAGAAAATATGTGCATTCATTACATGTTAAAACTGAAGATTTCATTGGCTGGTAGTGCCGAAATACCTCCAGAAATATTGTTTTGCCTCTCAAAGAATATGTGCACTCAACACATGTTAAAACCGAAGATTTCGTCAGCTTGTAGTGCCGAAGTACCTCCAGGAATATAGTGTTGCCTCCCAGAAAATATGTGCATTCATTACATGTTAAAACCGAAGATTTCATGGGCTGGTAGTGCCGAAATATCTCCGGAAATATTGTGTTGCCTCCCAAAGACTATGTGTAGTCA